TTTTTTTTTTTTTTCTCGTATCTGTTATGCGCTTCATTTTGCGGCTGTTAAGAACATCAGTTTCGGCGTCTACAGTTTTTGTTCAATTCTTCTGTTTTACCTCATCAATATTTTCTCTGTCCATGGAAGATGAGATTTGCCCATCTCTTGAAGTTTTTAACTATTTTCGTGTGGATCCTTTTGCAGGGCTTTTCTGCTAACCTTGCCAAAGTATCTGCTGTAGCATCAGTTTCAAGATGTGGAGTTCAAGATTCTGCCAAATTGCTATCTGCTTCAGTGAGGCATTTATACGGTAAACATTTATTATTTGCATCCTGGGTTTCTTATTTTGCGATGAATAGGAGCGCTTGGAGGCTAGCAATCGACGTTCTAGAATCGTGACTTTTGCTCCTTTCTCTTTTGCTCTAATCTCTTCCTTTTGTTTTGAGCCCTTTTTGTGTTCCTCTTATCATTGGTTCTCTTGGGTTTCATCTCTAGCTTACCCTAACTTGCTTGGGACTAAAATGCTATGTTGTTGTTGTTGTTGGGTTTCTTATTTTATACTTTTTCATAGTTAAACCCTTTTATATCTGTGTAATTTTGGTTCCTCTTGTTAGTCTGTAGTGTACATACTGGTTATTGTAAGTTAGTTGCATCTTTCTATCAGGTAACGAGGACAAGCAAAGTTAGCGCTTCACTTTGTAAAGAATTTTCTTTTTCTTTTGATATTCCTCCTTGATTACTGTGACATGAATTGTTGGAATGTTGGTCTCTTAGAATTATGATTAGCTTGGTAGAAATGAAGTGCTGTTTGTAGTTTTGGTTAGTCGGAAGAAATATTTATAGAGAAAATGTTGTTTGGTTACCTTTGGATGTCTAACCGTGTTTCAGGATTTTGCCAACCCACAAATCCCACTGCTGCTTATAAAGATGTTACCATTGCACCTAGCGTGTGGTTAATTAGGTAATTAAGCTTACTTTGCTATTTATTGAAGCTTACTGTGCTATTTATTTCACAATGTCCAATACTGTTGAGTTGCGTCATAAGGCAACGATGGTTGCTTGAGAGATAATCTTGTTTTAGGTTAAATGTGCCTCTGGTGCCAATATCATTGTCAGTAGAGGGATAGTGGTATCACAGCTTTTCAGGCAGTTACATACTTAAAAATTGTTTCTATCATCTATAAAAGGTGGATTGGAACCGTCTCAATCTTTTTATTGGTCCATAATTTGCTAGAGTTCTCTTTTCTGTTTCAAGTGACAAGTCAAACTCCACCCTCTCCCTAAGCATACTTATATCATGAATTATGTGCTTTTCAGTCTGATATTATATCAAAGAGAAACCATGATTAGTTCTAGTATTGTCTAATTGGTCGTTAGGAAGTTTATTTTTTAAATTTTGACTGTAGATCATTATATTTTGCATTTACACATGATGTACATGAAAAGAGGACACACTTTTTACCTGATATTCTTTATGCTAGCTGGTATGTAATACATTAACTTGTGTTAAGCTTTTGTGTTTTCCTCATTCAGATCATCAATGATATTCTTAGATAGCAATGTTCTCCATTTTATGGTTATGGTTTAAAATTATCAAAGTAGGAGACTGGTACATATGTTAATATATTTTCAGACCTTGTAGTTGTCCGGAATGTTGCATAGAATTAGTGCATATTTGACCTGGGACTTTCACCTGTGTGCATGCAAGTAAAAGTAAGAAAATGTGGAGGTTTATAACAACTTCACTCCAATTCTTGTTCACATGTAAAAATCCATCTGTAAGTGAGCAGCAACACTTAAGTCACTCATAAGAAATGATATGCCAAACTATCCAAGGATCAATCTCGAAATCTCTAATATTTGCATATTTTTAAAAGTAAATTATTCTATTGGTTGTTCGATATCTTGCTTATTTTCTTTTGGTCTTTGATACCTTATGCATGTGCCTAGTTATTTAACTATGTCAGACACACATTGTTCCTCTCAAGGCATCTGCATGCGAGTCGGGAGCTTCTCGCCAAGAGAAAGGAGGATGATTCATTGCGTTTAAAAAATTCTAAGCGAGTGAAATCCTTCAGCGGCAAGTTCTCCAAGAGAAAAAAAGAGAACAAACCTCCGGTCGAAACTCCTTATGTGCCTCCCAAGCTGAAAAGGGCTGCCAAGTCTTTGCCGGATAAGACGATTGAAATATTCGAAGGCATTACTATTGGGGAGCTTGCTAAACGTTGTGGAGAGTCTATACCGACCATTCAAAACATAATCATGAACGTTGGTGAGAAAGCCGATTCAGAGATTGACGGTCTCAGCATCGACATAGCTGAGCTGGTTGCAATGGTATTAATTCCTCGAAATTACGATATGTTGTCCTCCGATACTTGACACTAATTTGATGAGTGAAAAGTGGATACAATGATGCTATTCTATAGGTTTTTGAAGAGTTTCTAGAAGGAAACTTGTGTTAGGATATCTCTCCTCTCTCTCTCTCTCTCTCTCTCTCTCTCTCTCACAAACACGCACTCTCAGACGCACAACAAACTCACCGTCTATGCAATGTATATATATTCTGTTGTTCAGACAAATGATTTTCTATGTTTATAGTGGGCATGTATTGATAATAATTTGAGATCTGCTACTTGTCCATTAAATTTTCCTGCATGATGTTCTCAAGGCTGTATGAACGCAAATCCAACAGCTTTTTTTTTTTCCTTGAATGCTAAGTGCAGCTTTTGTACTATTTTTTGCTGTCCAAGGATTCATAACCAGGGGATACTCATATTTTCAGGAAGTCGGGATCAATGTTCACAGGCTACATTCGGATGAGGGCGTGGAGATCCTGCCACGGCCACCGGTGGTCACCGTCATGGGCCACGTGGACCATGGGAAGACGTCCCTTCTGGATGCCCTCCGCCAGACATCCCTTGCCGCTAGGGAGGCTGGCGGCATCACCCAACACTTGGGTGCATTTGTCGTGGGTATGCAGTCGGGCGCAGCCATCACGTTCCTCGACACGCCTGGTCACGCTGCCTTCAGCGCAATGCGAGCTCGGGGGGCTGCGGTCACTGACGTCGTAGTGCTCGTGGTGGCCGCAGACGATGGAGTGATGCCCCAGACCCTCGAGGCCATGGCCCACGCAAAGGCCGCCGGTGTTCCGGTTGTCGTTGCCATCAACAAGTGTGACAAGCGGGACGCAGACCCGGAGCGAGTCAAGGTCCAACTGGCATCTGAGGGTTTGATGCTGGAGGAGATGGGCGGAGATGTCCAGGTCCGTGGGTATATCTGCTTTGTAACTGACCTCACATTTTTTTTTTCGATCTTTATATATATGTTCATGTATTTAACAAAAAATAAATAAATAAATAAATAAATAATTGACAAGACTTAATTATATTAGTTTTCTGTATGGTACTTATTTGGCTATTTCACACAATAAGAAAATAGTGGTTAATACAGTTGAATTATGGCATTTTTCATTTTATGACCTATGCCTAATTTATTTATTTTTTCTTTTGTCCACTCGTTTTTCGTAAACTTAGTCTATGTGAATGGAGGAGTGTGGTCCCAAAATATTTTAAATTGGGGTAATATGGCAACGAGTAACGACTGTTAGCTATAGACTACATGAAAAGCAACTTTTCTGGGAACCTATCCATGTTGATGAAGGGAGTATATCTTATATTTTGTTTTATATATTTTTGTGCACATCTATCTTCAGGTCGTAGAGGTGTCTGCAGTGAACAAAACTGGGTTGGATCAGCTGGAGGAGGCCCTTCTCCTCCAGGCCGAGCTTATGGACCTCAAGGCTCGTGTGGATGGCCCAGCCCAAGCCTATGTTGTTGAGGCCAGGGTCGACAAGGGCCGAGGTCCACTGGCCACTGCAATCGTCAAGAAGGGGACGCTTGTCTGCGGTCAGGACATCGTGGTTGGGGCCGAGTGGGGGAAGATCCGGTGCATACGGGACATGTCGAGGAAAATGATCCTGCGGGCCACCCCTTCCATGCCGATCGAGATCGAGGGCCTGAAGGGGCTCCCAATGGCCGGGGACGACATCATGGTTGTCGTGTCTGAGGAGCGGGCTAGGATGCTGAGCGAGGGAAGGAAGATGAAGGAGAGGCGGAAGCTGGAGGAGGAGGGTCTGGAGAAATGGAGGCTGGAGGGTGAGGAGCATAGGAGGCTGAGGCGGGAGCTGAAGCTGAAGGAGGAGGAAGAGAGGAAGGGAAAGAAGACGTTGGAGGATGAAAACAAGGAGAGTGACGGTAATGATTCGGAGGAGGAAAGCAAGACGGTTGAGGTCCCGATCATTGTGAAAGGTGACGTGCAGGGGACCGTGCAGGCGGTCAGTGATGCCTTGAAGAGTTTAAACAGTCCACAGGTTGCGTTCTTGTTTTCTTATTGGTGGGATAGAATACGTTTGTGCTTTTGAGAGTATCTTATAAATCTGTATTTAAAGTATCTGACTCCCTTTGGATATTTCTTTATACGGCAGGTTCTTGTGAAGGTCATTCATGCTGGGGTGGGTCCTGTCTCGCAGTCGGATGTGGACATGGCAAAGGCGTGTGGCGCGTGTATCGTGGGGTTCAATGTTCGGGATCTGCCTCGTGCAGTCAGCCAGGCAGCAAGCCAGGCCAAGATAAAGGTATAACTTTGTGCCCTTCTGGTTTTGCTCGCCTATGTACAAACAAAATGACACTTGATTTGCTTATACCACGAATTTTGTAGTTATTTTACAAATCACCCGTAGATCCTTATTTTTTTATTTTTTATTTTTTCTAGTAAGAATAAAAGAAAATCCACTACTTATTTCTTTCCTGCTTGGAAAAATCTTATTCCCAAATTTATACTCCTTATCCTTAACACTCCATCTGCGTAAAATAATACCATCCTCTTAAAAAAATGCAGATAGTACTGCACCGTGTGATCTACCATCTCCTGGAGGACATCGGAAACCTGATCGTTGAGCGGGCCCCGGGGACCCTGGAGACTGAGGTGGCAGGTGAGGCCCAAGTGCTCAACATATTCGAGGTCAAGGGGAAGGGGAAAGGCAAGGGGGAGGATTTCAAGATCGCGGGATGCCGGGTGGTGGATGGCCGGGTGAGCAAGTCGGCCACGCTGAGGCTCCTAAGGAGCGGGGAGACTTTGTTCGAGGGCTGTTGCGTGTCTCTCAAGAGGGAGCAGCACGATGTGGATGCTGTGGGCAAGGGCAACGAGTGCGGCCTCGTCATCAAGGACTGGACCGACTTCCGGGTTGGGGATGTCGTGCAGTGCCTTGTCAAAGTCAAACGAAAGCCCAAGTTTGTGTCGTCTGAGAGCGGGGCCGTCCGTATCGAGTGCTGACGGGTTTATCACCAGTATACTATTGTTTTGTCCAAAACTCACTCTTTATTTCTTTGCTTTTTTTTGTTTATTTTTTTAGGTTGGGGATGGAAAGATTTTGTTGATGGAAATTTTAGGCGTGCTATAGTTGTTCTGGGTACACACACACGCAGCTTGGGAGTAGGAATGAGATTTTGGTACCTAGTCACAGATGTGTTGCTAGTAAGAGTTATTTATTAATGAGGTTCGAGTGTCAAGTATGCTCATGGAACATTTGAACAGGAATTGATTCGCTATGAATGGTGTTAGAATTTTTTATTTCTATCTTTTATGTTAAATGTGCTTGAAAATACTATGAGGCTGAATAAAGTTTCCTGTAACATTGGGTTAACCTGCCCGGGCATGAAAGGTTTGTAAGTCAAACAAACGTTTGGTGATGTTTAAGTAATAACCAAAAAGTTGTCTAAGTTCAGCATAACCTCAATGTGAGCTGACAACAATACATTCTTGCATACCAAATAATGAAATCAATATAGAGAAGCTGCTGCCTGCGTAAGCCGAGAAGGGAAATAAATATCAGGCAAGAGCACGAGCGCAAAGAGAAGCAAGTCCAAGTCTGCAAGAAAATGTAAGCCTCATTGATTTCTTCTTTTGTTGTACAATCCTTTTGGCCGTCACAGATTCAAGTTGAGAGATCAGGATTTGTGTTGTGTTATGCATAGTGATAGTCTCTGTAGTTCATTTTCCCGGTTAACTAAGATTTCTGAAGTATCTAGCTTAATTCAATGTTGGTGTGGGTGTACTACATGTCGGGCCAGTGGAGCATGTTTTCATGAATGCTTGATTTTTAACTAACATTTAACTTGATGTTCAACGGGTACTCGATGCAGCAGAATGCTTCCCAGCTCTTGCATCAAGGCTCTTCAAGTTCAGAATGATTTGATCAATTCCATGATAGAGGCTGCATCCTGGGAGCTCTCAACATGTTCGCCATAACCACAACAGCTATGAACATCTTCTCAAGGATCTTACTGTTCAGGTTAGTTCAAACTGAATCCTGAAAAATTGAATGGATCTTTAAGATTTCTTATTTTTTGGCATCTAAGACATTAAAAGATTCTACCAAGGTGAAAATTTTGCAGAGAAGCCTTTATCGAAGGGGCTCTTTACCTATAGTAACATGTCTTGAAAGGTTCATCATTTGATTACTGATCAAAGCCTTCAATTGGCTCGGTACGGGTAAATAAATTTTGTATTTAGTTGTAGATATGAAATAGCCTGTTTGGTCAGGTTGCCGCATGATGGTTGAAAACCGCACCGTCGTTAACTCATTGGTTACTCCTGAAGTCATTTTTGTGCCAATAGGACTGTTGTTAGGCAGACATAACGTTTAGACAGTCATACTTTAAAAAACAACACGAACAACAAACCTATGACATTTCATAGCACATCATTATGCATTTTTGCTAAAAAAAAGGGTATACGGATCGACCCGTCTAACCGTTAGGCCGCTTGCATTCTTGTGATATCCTCTTTTTTCATATTCTCATTTATGACTCAGATATAATGATATGTGTAGTCAATATTTCACGTGGTTTCTCTTTTACCCCGAATCTTTGGGAGCCTTTGGTTAGAGATATAAAATCAGTCATTTTCTTATATATGTGGTCGGTTTTTCATATTAATTATTTGGAACTTGACATTAAATTGCAATAGATAGAGCACGAGTGTTTGTTGCTGTGTCAATTTTGTGCATTTATACACTGTAGCAAAACGTGTCTGAAAGTTCATCTATAAAGATCCATAACTTGGTAACACAAGAAGTTGATGTTGGTCGGCCGATGGGATCGAGCTTGGTTTGAACGATGGCTCGTTTTACATCTTAAAATGAAAATTAGCATAATTATCCCGAAACATATCGTATTTTTTTTTTTTTTTTATAAAACGAAGAACCGATCGTAGTTCAAGAATGTTTTGTGTCGTTTTATTTCGTTGGATGAATGAAACGTGTCTATGACGACGTTAAAATTATATGCGTGTCGTTCATCTAAAACAAAAATTAAAAATATGATTGTAGAATAAGAGATTTATTAAAGCCTTCCTTCCTATGTTTATAGTTCACGGCATTGTATAGCTTTAAAAGCGTTCGGTGCAACTGCATTTGGTTAGCATTTAGTGTGAGGAAATGAAATTGGACATTTATTAGTAGGAGTCTAACCTAGAAGGGTTTTAATTCAATTGCACTTTGCCCCTCCAAGTTATTAGGTTTACTATATTTGCTCTTTGCACATTACTTTCAAAATAGACATATAGGCTATGTTTGTTTGGTAAAATTAGTTTATAGCTAATCAGTAGTTTTCGAGCATATATTTTATAGTTTATGAGTTATAGTTGAAAAGCTAACTTTTATGATAAAAATGTTTGGTAAAATTAGCTGGAATAGACAATTCTACTAACTTATCATCGATATGATTTTTGCATTTTACACCATGGATCGAACACAAGGTTGATTTAGAAATACTTTTTTTTATGACAATATGCAATTATCCTCAAAAGATGGTTCAAATTAAGATAGTTTAAATTAAGATAGAAATAACTTTTCATTTCAAAGTTATCCTCTTATTTCCTCGTTGACTTTTTCATATGCAACCAAATTAAGATGGTTTAATTTAACCATTTGAATACATATTTCAAAGAGGAAAATATGTAATTTCTACTAGGGTAGTTATTATTATTATTATTATTATTATTATTATTATTTTTTTTTTTTATTATTTTTTTTT